CATAAATGATTATGACCACATGCCCATCCTAAAAATGAACTTACACTATCCCAAGCCGGTATCCCCCCCCTGAGGTTCCCTTGTAAAAAACACTATGCGGTGACATTTTTGTTCTAACATCGCACTTTTTAGCGAATCCCTTGCAAACAAAGGGACGAAGTGCACACGCGCGCGTCGTCGCGCGCGCATGCCGAAATCCTTCAAAAACCTTCGGTGCCGGAAGGATTTCGCATTCGAGTTCCAAAAAAACATACAAAAACACAGGGTTTCGCAAAACTGATGTGCTAAAGCAGCGTACGCGCGAGCTCTTGCGACATCTTGAAAAAACCATGGGCTTTCCAAGATTTCCACAAAATGCTATTAAACGGGTTTCGCGCGCGCATGTCGAAACCTGTCGAACGCCCTCGCGCGTGTGCCGTCGCACGAACTTTTTCCAAAAATGGGACGAAGTGCAGACGCGCGCGTCGTCGCGCGCGTATGCCGAAATCCTTCAAAAACCCATCGGTTTCGGAAGGATTTCAAAATCGTGTCCAAAAAAACCTACAAAAACCCAAGGTCTCGCAACACGGGTTTTCAACAAAAAAAAAAAAAAAAAAAAAACATAAAGAAAAAAAAAAAAAAAACAAAACAAACAAAAACCAAAAAAAAAAAAAAAAAAAAAAAAAAAAAAAAAAGAAAATAAAAAAAAAAAAAAAAAAAACAAAAAAAAAAAAAAAAAATAAAAAAAAAAAAAATAAAAAAAAAAAAAAAAAAAAAAAACAATAAAAAAAAAAAAAAGAAAAAAAAAAAAAAAGCCGAGCCCGCGCGCGCCTCTTGCGTCGTCGTCGCGTTGTCCGTACGGTCCGTCCTTCCTCCCTCCTTCCGCGTCGTCGTCGTCGTCGTCGTCGCCTACGTCATCCTCTGTCTTTCCTCGTGTTCGTCGTCGTCGTCCTCTTTGGCGTCGTGATCGTTTCCGTCGTCGTTGTCGCCGTGGTCGTCCTTCCTCCTCCTCCCTCGTCGTCGTCGTCGTCCGTCGTCGGCGTCTCGTCGTCGTCCCTCCTATTTCGTCGCCGTCGTCGTCGTCGACGTCGTCGTCGTTGCCGTCGTCGTCTTCCCTCCTCCCTTGTCGTTGTCGTCGTCGGCGTCGCCGTCCTTCCTCCTTCTTCGTCGTCCGCGTCGTCGCCGTCCTCCCTCATCCCTCGTCGTTGTCGTCGCTGTCGTCGTTGTCGCCGTCGTCGTCCTTCCTCCTCCCTCGTCGTCGTCTTCGTTGGCGTCGTCGTCGTCGTCTTCGTCGTCGTCGGCGTCGGCGTCGTTGTCGTCGTCGAAGTTGTCGGAGACGTCGTCGGTGTCGTCCTAGTCGTTGTCGTCGGTGTCGTCGAAGTCGGTCTGAACAGGTTTTGCAAACCAAGTTGCGGGTGGGTGGGTGGGATGTTTGCGCGAGCAGTGGAGATGACGACTTCAAGTTCAGCAGAGTGGATTGCACAGTATAGACTGTTCACCACGGATGTTCCCTGTTCTACAACAGCAAGAAGACCTACCTCGCCCCCCCAGGGGCTAACTGGCCACATGTTTCGTATTGCCATTTACGTGTGGCTCTGCCCCGCCGTCCACCCGAACTTTGAACTCGTACCATACCAGGCACATGCCAGTTTCACCATTCATTCCGGGCAAAAAAACTATGCGCGCACACTCGTCCATCACAAATCATCAGTCTTCGAAAATCCTGTGCAACACGTGGGACGAAGTGCGCACGCGCGTGTCGTCGCGCACGCATTCCGAAATCCTGCCAAAACCTTAGTCGCGTAAGGGTTTCAATACCCTGAATGAGAACGCGCACCAAACACACATGGTTTCGCAACAAAGGCTTCAAAAACGACCTGCGCCCGCGCGCTTGCGATTTCTTAAGCACGCCATAGATTTCTCAACATGTTCATAACATGCCATCAAATGGGCCTCTCGCGCGCGCATGTCGAAATCGTTCGAACGCGCTCGCGCGCGTGCTATCGCGAGAACCCCTTGCAAAAACCACGACGAAAGGCACGCGCGCGCGTCGTCGCGCGCAGGCCGAGATCCTTCACAAACCTTGGGTTCTGTGCACATGTCAAAAACCACTGTCCGGAAACACATATCAAACCACATGGTTTTGTCACGCGCGTTGTCTTGCGGATCTTCCAGGACAAAGCATAATTTTTCAAACAGTGCATCAAATTCTGCAACATGGGCCCCTCGCGCCGCATGTCGAACTCGTTCGAACGCCCTTGCGCGCGTGCTGGGGGGGGGGGCACGATCCATGTCAGAAAAACCCGCGCGGGCCACTCACGCGCGTCGGCCGCGCGCGCATGTCGAGTTCCTTAAAAACCTCCATCGCCGACGCGAGGACATCGTCATTGTTATCGGCGGGCGTGATCAACATCGGCGCCGTCATTGGCCTTGCCGTCGTCATCGCCATCATCGCCACCATCATCGCTACTTCCATCATCGTGTCTACCGCTATCCGCGTCGCCATGATGCCGCGCCCGCCCGAGCCACCGACTCGCACCGAAGTGCCCGCTGCGAAGTGCCCAGCGGTCAGCGCCACCGCGGCCGCGTCGGTCGCGCCAAACAAGCCGGCCGCTCTGCGCCCGAGCCTGCGCGCTTTATCGCGGCCGCAAAGATGCACAAGCCAACGCCAAACACTCATCGGGATCGCCGTCGCATGGATTTTGCAAACCGAGTTGCGGGTTTTTGGGTGGGATGTTTGCAAAGGCAGTTGTAAAAATCAATTGCACCACGTACATTGCGCCACATGAACTGCCAGAAACACACTGGTTGGGGCATCGCTGGCTAAGATCAATATATCTCACCGTTGAAACCATGATCGCCATCGCAATTCGCATCCGCGTCGTCGTCATCGTCTTCGTCATCATCATCATCATCATCATCATCATCATCATCATCATCATCATCATCATCATCAACAACAATAGCATCATCATCAGCAGCATCATCCGTTTCATCATCATCATCATCATCATCATCATCAGCGCCATCCTCATCATGATCATCATCACCATCATCATCACCATCATCATTATTATGAACATCACCATCATCATCATCATCATCATCATCATCATCCTCATCCTCATCCTCATCCTCATCCTCATCCTCATCCTCATCCTCATCAGCATCAGCATCAGCATCAGCATCAGCATCAATCACATCCTCATCATCATCATCGGCAAAATCACCATCAGACATGGTCAGCCTCGACAATCACCGCCTGCGTTCACAGTTCCTGATCCTACTGATCGCCCTCCATCATCACCATCATCATCATCATCACCATCAACCATCACCATCACCATCATCAACATCATCATCATCATCATCAATCATCATCACATCAATTCATCATCATCTATCATCATCATCATTCATCATCATCAATTAAGAGTGTGATCCACCGCCGCTTTTACTAAAACTGTGGAAAATTCCGCCCCTTTTTCCTCCGCCGGAGCCCGATCCCCCCCCACCCCTCGAACACCACACCCCCCCTGCTGAACCCTCCCCTCCCCCCTACCCCCCGGCGGCCCCCCCCCACCCTAACTCCGCCCCCCCCTCCCCCCCCCTCCGAAGAGGGGTCACTACCGGTTCGGACCTCCCCCCCCTGAAAAACGAGAGGGGTCACTACCGGTTCGAACCTCCCCGCCCCCTCCGGAAACCCCGGGGGGGGGTCACTACCGGTTCGAACTCTCCCCGCCCCCTCACTGTCCCCGCTGTACCTCTGTCCCATTGTCCCACCACCGTCTTCGCCACCGCCCTCACCACTGTCCCCCCCGACCACCACTGTCCCCACCACAGTCCCACTGTCCCCGCCACTGTCCCACTGTCCCCACACCACTGTACTCACCACTGCCTTCACAAGTCCCCACCACTGCCGTCCCCACCACTGTCCCGCTGTCCCCTCGCCACTGTCCCCACCACCACCGTCCCGACCACTGTCCCACTGTCCCCGCCACTGTCCCACGGTCCCCACCACCACTGTGCCCACCACCTGTCCCGAGGTACGGGAATCGTTTGCCGGCGGCGAGGAGGGGGTGGAGGGGGGAACGAACCGGTAGTGACCCCCCCCGGTTTTCTGGAGGGAGGGGGGGTTCGAACCGGCTGTGACCCCCCCCCTTTTCATGATGTACTGGGGGGGGAGGTTCGAGCCGGTAGTGACCCCCCCCGGTGTTCGAGGGGGGGTGGGTTGGGGACCCCCAGTGACCCCCTCAGGTTTTCCGCCAGCAGCGGTAGAACACGCTCTTTCCATCATCATCACCATCCTCATCAGCATCATCATCATCATCATCATCATCATCGTCATCATCATCATCATCATCATCATCATCATCGCCATCACCATCACCATCAGCATCATCATCATCATCATCATCATCATCATCATCATCCTCATCCTCATCATCACCAGCATCATCATCATCCGTGGGGCCTCACGGATCTCCAGAGGCGCATGCATTTTTTCTGTGTAGAACAGATCCGAGCCCTTCGCAGCGAGACAACAGGCGTAGCTTGCGATAGCACTGCCGAGGCGAGAACTCTGGGACTGCGAAGCCCGTCCCACGGCGGTTAAAAGGCGAAAGACAGGGAGAGGGGGGAGGGAGAGACTTGAGCACACAAGGCATCGGACACGGATGCAACTCAACCGTCTGAAACGAGGGCGGATACCCTCGCCCTCACTCAGGATGCCCGTTCTCAGAACTTCTATCCTCCGTGGGGCCGCACGGGTCTCCAGAGGCGCATACATTTTTTCTGTGTAGACAGACCCGAACCCTTCGCAACGAGACAACAGGCGTAGCATGCCGATAACACTGCCGAGGCGAGAACTCTGGAACTGCGACGCCCGCCCACCACACGCATTATATGATCTGGCGTGCCGCCACAAAACTCTTTCATGATGAAAATGATCTCCACATTAGTTCGAGACTTGCACACTGCACTGAATTGAATAACGCCGAGGCAGCCTGGCGCGCGAAAGCCTGGGGGTAGGCGACTGCAGCACACGTCATCTTGGTGCCTTCCAGCACCACGTGAGGCCTATTGGTCCGGGAGCACAGCCCGCGTCGCCCGGAGCACACCCGGCGGAGGGGGCTGAGGTCGCCCGCGTGCCAGGCCTGCAGCCGGGTCCGCTTGCGAAAGGTGGCACCGTTCTGGCAGTAGTCGAGGGTGACCTGGGAGCTGGTCGGCTTGCTGGCCGACGCTGTCATCCGAGGTACAGTCCACAACAGTGAGCCAGCTGGTTCTCCAGGATGACAGCGACCTTCTTTGTCGTGCGTGCTGAGATGATGGCCAGCGAAAACTTGGCCGTCGCGTTGCCGACCTCGATCCGCGAACGGTCGGCGGGGCGCCGCAGCGCGTCGGGGTGCCCCCAAACGCAGCCGGCGGCTCGAAGTGGGCCGCCGGGGCGCCCAGGCTGTCCTCGGCGAGCGGCGCCCCACGACGAGCAAGGCGCACCCAGCCACGCGCCTCCGATGAACCCCTGCTGGATCCCGGCGAGCAGCAGAGAGCGCACTACGGCGAGGCACGCATCCTGCAGCGGGCAGTCGGCGATCTCGAGGGTCACGACGGCGGCGCCCAAGCCACGCAACTGAGCAGCGATCCGCTTGGCCCCTGCGAAGAGCTCCAGGAAAACGCCTCCTCCGCGCCTCTCGCGCCGGGCGCGGGCGACCTCAGCCTTCGCCCGCAGCTTCGGCGCGGAGGCGGCAGGGCAGAGGGAACGGCCAGCGGCGGCGCCGGAGGCGGGCGGCGACCCTGCGCGTAGCTCGCCAGGCCCTCCCCCACCGTCCGCGCGAAGAGGGTGGCGGCGGGAGACAGCTTCGTCGCCTCCCGCCAGGCCAGGGCCGCCTTCTCGTAGCGCCTGACTGAGCCGTCCGTCCGCCAGCGGCCTCGCTTCTTGGTTTCGGGGGGCGTCCGTCTCTGCTCCCCCATGGCGCAGCGAGTAGAGCTGCGGGCGCAGCGCGTGGACCCCGCTGGTCAGCGCGGCGTTGGGCAGCACGGAAGCTCAACCCTGAACTCTGAATCCTATAATTATGATGCCCTGAATCCTGCAAAACCGGCTACATACGGGCACATGCGCTTACATGCGGGCACATGCGCACCGGCATGTAAACCGGCGCCATCCCTTGCAAAAATACTATTCCCTGATCATGCGCGCAGAATCCATTGCGACTTACACGACAAATGCGTCTCCGCGGACGAAAACCCTTGTCATCCCTTGCCAAAAAAACACTAGTTCCTGATCATGCCTTCATACACCCACGAGAGTATCCTTACCAAGTGCGCCGCTGTCGCAGAATTGTGTTTACAATGCGCATTTAATTTCAGGCGCTCTCAACGCTCCCAGGCGCCCCCAAGCGCCCCAGGCGCTTGGGAGCGCTCCCAGGCGCTCCCAAGGTTATGCTCTGCCGCAGCTGATCCCCTCCTGTTGTATTCTTTGGCCGTGTTGTAAGAGTTGTTCTAATTTCGCGTCCTCGACTATGTGCATTGGGTACTCCTGGCTCTCCGAAAGAAGGGGACCTGTTTGCTTATTATTTCGTTGCCTCGCGTATATGAAAAATGTACTGACGTCTGTGTTTCTTGTACTCTTACTCCCACTCTTACTCTTACTCTTACTCTTACTCATACTGATACTCTTACTCTCACTCCTACTCCTACTCCTTAGTCTTACTCTTACTCTTACGCTTACGCTCACGCTTACTCTTACACGCACCCTCACTCTGACTCTTACTCGTACTCTTACCCGTACTCAAACTCTTACTTTAGTCCTACTATTACCCTTACTCTTACCTTCATTCTTGCTCTTACGCATACTCTTACTATGACTCTTACTCATACTCACTCTTACTCTTACACTCATAATATTAACTTTTAGTCTTACTCATACCCTTACTCTTACTCTTACCCACACATCCTTACTCTTACGCTTACGCAGACTCTTACTATTACTATTAGTTTTGTCTTACTCTTACCCTTACTCTTACCCTTAGGTACTCGTACTCTTACTCATACTCATACTCTTACTATTACTATTTACTCTTACTATTTCTCCTACTCTTACTCCTTCTCTTACTTTTACCCCTATCCTTGGTCCTTATTCTTGTATACCCCCACCTACCTCGCATTCCGGCCGATAGCAACCCCCTTCCGGGACCTCCCAACCGGACTGAAACAAATCAATACAAAGTGGCCGTTATTCTTCTCAACATAATCTTTCTTGTCGTCGACGATGCGAAAAGCATGGCAGGAATGGGACGTGGCGCACATCGCGCGCGGCAGTCACTCTGGGCCCGCCCATCCTGACTGTATAAAATCAATATAAAGTCTTCGCTTTTTCCTCTCAGCATGGCCTGCCTTGTCGCCGACGGTGCGAAATATGTGGCAGCAATGGGACGCGGCGCACACATGGGACGCGGCGCGCATCGCGCGCGGCCGTCAATCCGGGCCCGCCCATCCTGTCTGTAAAAAATCTATACAAAGTCTCTGCTTTTTCCTCTCAGCATGGCTTGCCTTGTCGCCGACGGTGCGAAATGTGGCAGGAATGGGACGCGACGCGCATCGCGCGCGGGCGACCACGCGGGCCGCGGGCCCCCCCATCCATAAATTATATATATATATATATATATATATATATATATATATATATATATATATTATAAAAAAAGAGTTGCCGGTTTTCTTTCCTTCATACATGGCATGTCTTGTCGTCGACGATGCGAAATGCGTGGCAGGAATGGGGCGCGCGCACATCGCGCGCGGACTTTTGGGGCAACCCCAAGGCGGGAGGGGCCACCATATTTGTCAGAAACAATGCCATGCTGATTTTCCCTGCCCACATAGCTGTTCTTGTCGTCCACCCCGCAAAAGTGCATGGCAAGAATTGGGCGCGGCCCCCCCCCCCGCCCGCTTGGGCGCCGAGCGAAATTTCCTCAAAGTTGCGCTCCCGCTTTGGCTCGGCGCACGTTTTTAGCTCGCCAATTCATTGGGCGCCGGGGCGTTCCAGGAGGCCCTGGGGTGACGAATGCCTGGGAGGTTTTTGCTTGTTCAGGCTCTTGGAGGGCCTCGAGAGGCTCCCCGCGGTTTCTTGGCGGCGTCTTCGGCCGTCTGGAGGCCATCTTGGGCGTCTTGGTACGATCTTTCGGCGACTCAGGGCCCCTCGGATCGTCTCGGGGGCGTCTCGGCTCTCTTGGGGCGTTCCTGGGGCGCTCTGGGACCTGGAAGTCAGCGCCGAAGAAGAAAACCATCGCTGGGACCGACATGCCCAGGACCTGCTCGGGGTTCTGTTCGTCCAGGGGCCCCCAGGGGCCGCCGCGCGCAAACTAGAAGATTGTTAACTAGTTACCGGAGATCTTAGCACGCCTCTGGCCCGTTGGGCTGGCCCGGGACCTGCTCGGGGTACTTTTCGTCCGGGGGCCCCCAGGGGTCGCCCCGCGCGCGCGAACTAGAAGATTGTTAACAAGTTACCGGAGATATTTGCACGCCTCTGGCCCGTTGGGCCAGCGAATCTGTCTCAAGCCTTTCTGAGATTTCGGCCCCTTTCTCGGGAGCAGCTTTGCGTCCTGTATATTTTCTTATTGGTCTGGGGGGGCAAAAACCGTTCCCTGGAGGGCGAAGTCGAGGGAAAAACGTGCGAAGTCGACGGAAAAACGCCAGCACGGAGAAAATCTGATCGTCGGGGATGTGGGCCCAAGAGCCGCGAGAGCTACCGAGGAGCCTCGAAGCCCGAACCGGGAGGGCGCGTCGCGGCGGCACGGCGCCGGCGCCGCCCACAGGTCATGGACGGCGGCGCGCCGAGGGGGAGTCTTTCAGTGAGGTGCTCGAACTTTGCGCCTCGAGCATCTGTGTTCGAGTCTTTCTGGCCCTCGGGGTCCTCTTCTAAGTCACGGCTGGACGCGACTCGAAAAAATGGTGCGTTTGGACCCGGGAGGGGTCCGAAGGCTTCCTTCGGACCGGATCTGGGTTTGGGGGTACGGCGAGGGGGAAGACAGCAGCCTGTCCGTTGCCTCGAGAATCGGTGTTCGAAGCTTTCTGGCCCTCGGGGTCCTCCTCTAAGTCACGGCTGGACGCGACTCGAAAAAGTTGTGCGTTTGGACCCGGGAGGAGTCCGAAGGCTTCCTTCGGAACGGATTTGGAAGGTTTAGGGGTACGGCGAGGGGGAAGACAGCAGCCTGTCCG